GCTGAGATTACTTTCAGCCTTTCTCTGTCGTTTTACACCGCTCCAAAGAGCTGCCCCCGTTTTGTTACAGTGTAGCACTGCCCTGAACCTTTGTCAGCTTAAACCCAGCAAGAGGGCAAATAGCAAAAAGGAGTCAAACAAGTATTTACTTGGGAGAAAGTATACAACTAATACTCTAAGTGAAATCTCCTGACATCTGAAGGGTTCCAGGAGAGACTGCATTTCTTTCTTATCACACTTTTTAAAGGAGGCTTCTAGCACTTGGAGAAAGCAGGACAATGCATACATGGAATACTGAATAAAAAATTGCAGTTCTGAGCAGTATATATGTTGTATAAATTTTATATAAATATATATATGTATATTTATAGCTCCTTACATCTCCTTTCCCTCCCTCCATGCTCTGTGCATATAAATGCATGAAAGAACATCATCTTAAGCTTTTCACATTGAGTGTTTCTAAGGTTCAATTCTCATTCTTTCTACCCAGAGAAACACTACAGTACAAAACCCCCTTCAAAACAGCTGAGGCAAGACCCACTTTTTATGAAACAATTCCAAATTACATGGATAAGATGTAAAATTACTCTAACAAGTCAGAGTTAAAAGTTTAACTGCTTATAATAAATTACCCAGGTCTCATTACTGGATTACTTATTGGAGATTAGACAGTCACATTGGAAACACAGGTGTGGAATGGAATGTCTGCATCCCCAGCTCCAAAATCCTGCAATTACACACAGCCACATATGAAACAGTCAGTTCAAAGAACCTATTCCCTGTAATTTTCCTGATAACCCCAATACTTCAAGCACTCCAAAAAAACCCACAACATACAAGCAACCGAAGAGACTGAGGCATAGAACTACAATGACATACCAGAGTTACAGTGAGGAAGATCAAGGGCATCATTAGTGTCCTGATCCTTCGCAAGGAATTTGTTCAATAAAATTTGCTTAAATAATAAATAAATAAATGAAAAGTCTAAAGAACATGCACTGCAAAACCTACCACCCCTTCACACACACACTGACACACTGTTAACGAAGGGCGCAGTGGGACGAATACTTCCCAGCAACAAATCACAACATGGGTTTAACCCCAGTACAGCTCCTTCATGCACTGAGATCCGCACTCAAAACAGCTGAATGCTGCCAGTAGCAGTAGTGTGCGGCATTTCCTCAACGCAAGTCAGAAGTGCAAATCAAGTGTCAGGCACTACAAAGAAACAGAAGCAAACAGTGATTCTGACACAGCTACCACATTTATTTGTGGTCCATCCGTATCCCGAGCGCTGTGTGCACAGTTCTGGTTGACGCCTCTCGGAGAGGGTTACATAGATGTGGAGAAGTTTCAAAGAGAACCAGCCAGGGTGACCAAAGCATGTGGGACAAGTATCCTTTATACATGCCCTGATCTTTCTTATGCTCATCCCTGGACAGCCACTTTCAGTCACAGTCAGCACTGCTGCTCTTGGTCATCTTACTTCCTCCAGTGTGTGAGCAGACGGTGTAAAAGCTGAAAGGCTGAAATTATTTTTTCATACACACCCTTTCCTGTGAAAATTTTAATAAGACTGTCTAGAGAAACTGAGTTTCTTAAGACCCATTGGAAATAAGGTACACCCACAGTTCATTTCATGCAAAACTAAAGCCAAAGCCTTTTTAGCATTTTTATAGCTTTACTGTTTCACAACACTTTGCCCTCCCATTATAAGCTATTCCATCATATAGATGGAATAACTGAGATAGATGGACTAAGTAATTGTTTCAAACTCCCAAAAGAGAAACAGCTATTAGAAAATGAGCAGTTTTTTGCTTCCAATTCTCTGCTCTGTCCAGTAGATTACAGCACTCTTTCACAGATTACAAAACAAAAGGATAATGTATTCACACAATCTGCTGCATTCAAGGGAACTACTGAGTTCAGTTCTGGTCAATACCTCTCAAAAACAGAGCACCAAGGGGGAAAGGGCCCAAAGACAAACAAGTAGAATGAGAAACCTGGAAAAAAAAAAATCATTCTCACAAGCAGAGGCTGAAAAGGTGAGGATGCTCACCTTAATGGGAAGGTAAAAGAGGGAACAGAAGTCTACAGATAATGAATAAGAAGAGAATTCCTTTTATCTCTTTCACATAAAGGATATTAAATGAAAAAAAGTCTTTGAAACTGGTAACACGGAATTTAGAGTATGTAAGTTAACCTGCGGCACACATTGCCACATGATGTTGGAGGCAAAGAGCTAAAGAAGGCTTCAGGAAAAATGCCTGAGACACACAGAAGAATGATGGCACTATTCCAAGTTCCATTACAGCGAATAAAAATACTGAATGAAAATAAACTCCTTTGCAGCAGGGCACGTGTCAGCCTCCAACTGACAACACTTAGGAAGACTCTTCTCCAAGTTGTTCTCCAAAAGTTTTTTGTTATTCTTTTGTTTTGGTGAGGTCTTTTTGCATCTTCCTTCAAAGCCTTTCAAAACTGACCACTGTCAGAAGAAACAGGGCAGTGTCCCAGTTTAATGCAGTGCAGCAGCTACTATGTTGTAAGGAGTATGTAACACAATTATTCTTGGCATCCTACTGGGAAGGTACTTAGTTCTCAACATCAACAGTTCAAAACATCCTTCAGAAACAAATCTCTAAGTCTCCTACTGCTGAATTCCGCTATTACGCACAAGTGGGGAGAAAGCCAACCTGAAGTTACACACAGGCACAGCAGTGGGGGAGTTCCTAACAGCCTGATCCTTAGAAGGCGAATTTTCAGCTCTCTGATTCCATGAATGAATGTGAGAACTCAGCACTCCTAGGCCAACACCTCCAAAGCACCAGTGACCACACTCCAAGTGACCATCCCCTCCAAAAACAGGAAAGAAAGTAAACTTGTATTTCAGAGCTACTTCACACCTCATCCCTTTGTCGACAGCTTTTTTCTAATCCAGACACACACGTACATACACAGATATATAAAGATATATCTAAGCCTGAATTGGAAGGTTTTAGCGCAGTGGAAGGAAAAATAAATAAATAAATGTCAAGGTCTGCGTGCATTCAACAAATAAAAGCAGAATTATATAAAAGCAACAGCTAATAAAAAAGATTGTTCTGTGCTGTGTTTTCCATCTTTCCAACCATTATAGGAATAAAATTATCCACAGAGAAGATCAAAAACCTTTTTCAAAACTAATACAATTAAGCTTTATTACACTGTTTCAAGTACATTTCTCTCCTCTCCCTCCTAGCCCCCACCACCTCCCACTCCAATCCAGATTAATGGTTGGAAGCATTCTTCTACTTTATTACCACCAAAACACTGGTGCTTAAGGGTCAGAAACCATCTAGTGTTTCAAGAGGGGAAAGAAAACCTGTCCTTTTTATCTACTCGCTTTTGTACATCTCAGAACTAGAAGACAGTTTCTATGCAGCTCTGCAGTTTGAATAGAACTATAGGACCTCCCTCCCCTGAGAAGATCCTGCACGAAAATATCCATCACCTTGTTTAAAAATTTACCCTGCAAGCAATGGACACGGACCTGAAAAGGGAAGTACAAAACACAACAAAACATTTCAAAAAGAGGACAATGCAGCCTGGACACAAACTTCTCCCCACTCCTCTGTCCATAAAGGACAAACACACACACAAATTTTCCCTGCAGTTTCCGCTTCATGAAACCAGATCCGGAGAGAAGAATAAAATAGAAGCACACAGCATGAGACTAAGAAATTGCAAAAATTCCCTTTGCGTATGAACATATGGACAACTGTGATAATTAGAACGATAGCTGCTAGATTGTTTGCAATTTCACTGAACAATCCCCATTATCTAGAAATAGAATTTAAAAATCTGAATGCAACACTGAGTGGTAGTTCTAATAGTTTATTTTTTAATGAACTGTACGGATAAAAGCGTTGCAGAAGTGTATCATGTGAAACTGCTTATGGGCACATTTTGCCATCAATGGCTTCAAAAAAATAAAAAAAACCTCTCAACAATGCTGTATGGACAGTCATGCCGTAGCAGGGTACGAGAAGGGAAATAGATGTACTGATAGTTTTCTACCATTTCCATTGTCTGCAATTTTCCCATGTTCCATATTCACCATCACGGTACGTGTTGGTAGTAAAGCTGATTGATTTCTCTGTCTTTCCACAACCCACTTTTTTCATTGTTTGCATTTCTTTTCATTCACGGAACTCAGCTACGAGTCAGATGTATGCAACTGTCTGTCAGGAGGTCTAATTGCTTCAAATTGGAGAAGATTATTCTCTACATTTATTAAAAAATAAAGACTACTTATAACATTACTTCATTTTGCCAGGAAGTGAAAAACACATTAGTTCATAAAGAACAGCATGGCTGCTCTTGTTTTTATGGTATCAATTTTTAAAAACTCATCATGGTAAACAATTAAACAGAGAAGCAAATCCCACGTTTGGGGGAGAGATTCAAATCCCTAAATGGATTTTCAAAGGTCATTTCAGGCTTAAAAGATGCTTGACAGTGTCTCCTCAAATCATGTTCATTTCAAAGGCTTATCCAACAAGAAGCAGGCAGTGCACAGCATCACCACTCTTTGAACTGTAGGGCTCCTCAGAGAAAAATTAATAATACAACTTTAATTCATATTTATAGCAAGATTTGTGGTGTGGGCTTTTTTTAATTTAGGAAAGGATTTATAACAAAAGGAATTTAAAAAAAAGGCACTTGTTTTTTTGAACTTAGCTTTCACCTAAACCCCACGGTGAGGAAAAAAATAAAGTTTGAATTACTTTATTTAAAAATCATTCCGTTAAAAACCCCTTATCTTTCAAAAGCAAGTTGTTCAAAAGATTTGGTTTGTACAGCTTTTTCATCACTTAACTATGTAAGGGGTGAGGGGCAGGTAGATACCAGGAGCTGACAGTTCCAGGTTTCAGCACAACGCTGCTTGGTTTGGCTCAACACAGATCTGCATCCAATCCCATTAGTATTCAGAGGCCAAAAATACAACTCAGCGTTACCTTCTTCTCAATGCGGGCCAACTGCTCTTTGTAGAAGGCCTCTTGCCGCTTCAGCTCTGCTTCCTTGCCTTGCAGTTCCACGGCCTGGGAAGAAGAACAGAAGAGCATCAGTAAAAGAAGAAATTAAAAATAAAAAGTGTGAGAAAGCAGCCTGGAAGGAACTAAAAACCAATTGCTCAGGACCAGTGTATGGCATCCTTCTTGGTAGAACTACAAACTTTCACTATTGCAGTTCATTTTGGATTATCCCCACAAGTTTGAAATACTCTTATTGGTATCACGCTCAAACTCATAACCTTGATTTTATTTCTCTTTATTAAATGAAAACATATAATCATAGAAAGGTGACACCTTCTTACTGCCTTTTTCAGATCTCCACCTTATCCAAGCCTTTGTTTTTCACGGATCATGATGTTTATTACTCCACTTGTTCTTCAATTTACCTTAAAAATAAACCTCAAATCCTCCACTTTATGAACACTTACACCTTGGAGTGACAGAAAAACCTCTATAAATTTAACAGACCCCTACAATCATGAGGAAGATCTGAAACACAAAGTCTATGCTGTAACATTTTTATAGCAACACACATTCTTACTGACCATGAATTTGCTTTTACACACACATACACAGAATGGCTCCGATAATCAAGTTCTCGCTCCAGACATTCCCCGTGTGTCCCCACCAGCACTGCCTCAGGCTGGGTGCTGCACGTTCAAAGGGGAGATGGGTGTCAAGAATTTATCTTCCATCTTCCAAAGTTTGAGTGGGACGCTTTCAAAACAGCAAACTCAGTATTCTAGTGCTTAAGTATAACCTGGTCATCAACCAAACAACGATCAATTATGTGGTTACAGCAACAGCTTTTGCCCTTTAGCTCTTTGCAGCCAGCAGCACTTCACTGCATTCCCTGCCCTAAATGAAACTAGCATTAAGCAAACATGGCACTGATGAACACAAGCCAAACTTTTAAGTTTGAAAGTAATAATAGCAAGAAGAACGCCACGGGATTTTCTTCCCCCATCCTGCCCCAAAACCTCTGGGGCCACATAAGCTATTACCAGACGAGAACACCTTTCAAAACTTGAACTATTAGTCCATTTAACATGAGTACAAACACGGCTAATCTATAGCATACCAGCTACATGCTCTTAACTTCCAGTGATAATGGTACAACCACAGAAGACACTTGTCCAATATGATTAAGGGACAGAATGTCCTCACAAGCTCAGACCTGTCATTTGATGGCCAACAGCCACTGTTAATGAGAAAAATTACAACTGAAAGCCAGTTGCTGTGCATTTCCTTCTTTCTACTCCCCTGCTGATAGAATAGCCTGGTAAAATAGGGCTTAGAAGAGATTTTAAGCTAGGCAGTGAGAGACAGCTGATAAGTAAGCAAGACAAAATATAGAAGTACATGAAACAGGGGGGTTGCGGGGGATGGTGGTGGTGCCTGTTTATTTCTAAAGGAAAAAAAAGTATTTTGGTTCCCGTGTTTGTCATCCAGCCAATAGGGCCACAGCAAGGCACAAGCACCATGGATTCACAGCTAAATCCCCACACTCTCAAAAACGCTTGATTAAAGGCAAAATCTCTGGCTTTGGTTTAACCAGAGCTGCTATATATCTTCCAGCCCACAAACCAGCTGAATCAGGATGGGGAGGGCGATGAGAATCAGCTGCCCCATACATGTAACCTGACCACAGAGATACCACAGTAACAATAGGGGCACTGATGGGCACTTCCTAAGTGCCAAATTACCACCATTTCTGTGATAAGAGAACCAAAGCTATCTGTCTGAACCCATACCCACCACCTACACAGAAAAGGAATAAGCAATTTCAACTGAAAGAGATGTAAGAAAGCAGGATAGTCTTCTGGATGACCAGAGGAACCTGATTCTCGTGCTGATTTTATGCAAAACATGCAAAAAATCAGATTACTAAACAAGTGATTTGTATTTCATTAAGGAAATAAATAGGGAAAAGAGAGCAGAGTAACATAGTACTGACCCTTCTGCACAATTCAGATGGACGGTGTCTTTGACATGAAGTGTATTTCAAGGAAGAAAAAGAGCCAAAAGAACAACTCTTAAAAAGGCAAGAAAGCTTCTGCTTAACCTAAATAAATTATTTCTGTGGCAGTGCTACTCTCCTGGGGTAGCAGACTATTCTGGGAGCACAAAACCAACATGTGTAACAATACTGGTGGGCAAGAGGCTTTATTCTGTTTCTCGCAAGACATGGATATGGCATCTCTGGAATGGAACCCAAACCAAACCCCTAATGTCTCAAGTGGGGTGCTGAGATGCAACCACGTTAGAGATGTGTTGGGCTGCATCCTGGAGACACATGGACCCCCAAGCAGACCTGATCGGGGTTGGGGTGCTCACAGTGAATGTTGCACAGAAAACTTTGACTTGCAATTCAAGCACATTTTCAATGCCTTGCTTGTTTTCAAGAGCTGCTGCTGTTTCAGTGCATTGAAGTAAACTCAGAAGCATTCTATTTGTAACAGATTTGCTTGAAAGTTGCTTTCTGCTTCCCTCTACCCCCAGCTATTATTACTAGAAACTTTAGTACACTTTATGTTGGTGTTTGAAGTATCAATGGTACAGTCAGAGGATGTGTCATTTGAAATATTCACTGTTCCAAACTGGGTTAGGCAACAAGGGACATTTTGTATGAATACAGGATATTTATTAAGAGTTCCTCCAGTCCTGCTGCTTATTCCCTACCTGAAGTCAGAAGCCTGTGATGTCCCAGACAGAACTGGCTGCTATGGAGATGATTACAGTTTCACAGGGGATTGAGATTGAAGGTGCCAAACAAAGCATAAGATACCCTTTTCACATAAAGGCTTTTAGAACTGAAGAAGGAATGAGAAGGGAAGACATGTATGACAGATAACACACCGGTTTGAAAAATCACATTTCAGAAAGCTGCATTTCACATCCATGCTACAGAAGCTACATCTGATCTTGAATGTATGATGCAAGAGATGACCAACGCCCAGGGATGACACCTAAGAAACTGTAGCACAGAATACAGAATGCGATGTCCAAGGAGTGTGAAGACAGAAACAAAACAGCAGGAAGGGAGGAAGAATGTAGTTAGTTATATGACACTCAAATACACCCAAAACTTAGAAAAGTAGCACAGGACAGCACTTACTTACAAAAAGGAACACATGCAATCAGGAATTGTCCTCTGTACAAAAACTAGGTATAAGACATATTCAGCAAATGGTCAGGAATTCCCTGTGGTATATCAGCACCGCATTCTTGCAAAAGCACAGCAAAGATATCCTGCTAGCACAGCTTCCATGGGCATGGATCCATGTACTGGTGGGGGCTCTTTCCACTTCTTCTTACTTTTTATCTTTACACTTTTTCCATAGCCCAAAGTTTTTCAGGTTATCTCAGTGCTGTGGCAACAAAGAGCTAGGGTAGAGTCACATGCAATTCTTGGCCTCCTCCTCTCCCCTTATCAAGTATCCCGTTTAGAAACAAACTGTGAAAGCACAGTTCTAAAGCTATGCATTACATACTAGCTCAGCTGAAGAATTCAAACACTGGCCTGCCAGCTGACAGGGAGGCCAAAAGAGACATTTTACAAGTCTCTAAAATGAGGTCATGAAATATTATTGGTTCATCCTCTATGAACAAAGCCGGACACCCTAAGCCTCGTCCTGAACGGACACCGACATGCAACACATGAGACTCTGCAGCTGATCTCCTAGTGCTGGGCTTCACTCTAGCTACATCCATTCACAGATTAGCTTTGGCTTTGCCCCTCACAAAATATCACCAGATTTTCATTATTTTTAATCACAGTCCCTTCTCATCACCTTGGTAAACATGAAAGCTATGAAGGAAATCTGCTTGGAAAAAAGGGCTTCTTGGCAGGGTCAGATTACAGCAGGGAATGTGGTACCCAGCAATAAAGTGCAGCAACAGCGCAGCCCGCAGCTGACTGCTACCATCAGGCTGTCGGTCTGCAATGCTGTTGGAGTTCTGGGATTTGGGTGGAAGGCATGGAGACTCTACTGGAGAAAAATAAACAAACAACGAAACAAAACATCACCCCTCTCAGCAAAGGTCAAGCCAAGCTAGAAGAAAAAGTCCATACCTCAACCTATAAAGAACTTCCTCAAAGGCAAGTCACAGCACTTGGCAAGATTATTGCAAAAACATTTATCTTCTTGGCAAAACACATTTACCAGTCACAGACGAACTAGTGAGATGATGCCTAGCGAATAGTCAGAGGCAATCCAGGGAGAGAAGCTACAAGGATAAAGGGAAGGTCCTTAAGTCTCAACCAAATGTCTTGTTTCTACATCATCCTGTCTTTGCTGAGCAGAGTTACCAGCTTCCCCCAAAGGTATCCACTAACATCTCGGCAGTAGCACAGCAGAGATACTGTGCCTGGGTACCTCAGCTTGCCACGCTCCACAACTGCAAATTTTTATACCTCATGCTTTCCTGTGTCTCTTCCAGTCCTGGTAGCAGTCCAGGTGGCAGGGGAGAAAAACAAATGCTATTAAAGGCTCTGAGACTAGAAGAAGGAATTGACAGCAACGCATTGAAGAACAGAACTAGCTCCAAAATGAGCTAGCTGGCATGTTCCTCCCCAAGCCTTAAGGGAATGGCAGAGCCGAAAGGGCAACAGTGAAGCAGCAAGAGGCAGCTTGCACGTATCATGCCTCAGACTGAAGAGCAGAACTTCCCAGGGAGGCTTGCACAGGACGAGTAACGACAGGGGAGCCTTGACTCAACCTCCACGGCATGAGCAGCAATACCACCACTGCTGCAGAGCCGCCTGCAGTCACTATTCCAGACACGCGAGGCCTACGAAATCGCTTGCTTTTTGTCCTTTATCTCATTCTGTTGAAGGCAGGTGACTGGGTTTTAGAACCTAGATGCAGACACATGGCCTTAAAAAGCAGCACTGGTGTAACCTTCATTTCCTCCTGTTTCTGCTACTCTCTTAGCCAACAACACAAATCACCAGATCAAGTTTGGTTTCAGCAGCTGTAAGCTACACAAAAAGAACCAGCGAAAATCTTTATGGAGGAAATAATATGCAATTTTCTAGCTGAACACCTTTTAAAATGTAATGACAGAAAATAAAATCCTGCATCTGTGCTCAGCAATAACAATCTGTACGCACGCAGTAACAACATGACACTTGGAATAAGCAAGATCCAGACAAAAAAGAGAGCTTACCCAGGCGTCCAAATCCTCAGGCTTGGAATAAAGAGAGCGCAAGAGAGAAAGGAAGGGAAAGTGAAGAAAAAGAGAAATCAGTGATTTATGGAGGCCGCCTGCTGCTGCACAATATAGCTCTTAGGATGACAAGTTTAGAAAAGTTCCTTAAAACCGACAAGCGTCTAAAGCAGTGCAGTGCTGTCCCCTGTTGGGAACTGTGCTACTAAAGCAAAGCAAAAGCACATGCACCCCCAAAACTAAGAACAAAGCAAAGTCCCCAAAGACTGCCGCAGGATTCCCCCGCAGGGTGGAAGCTAAGCCAAGACAGCTGGGACGCAGCCAGCTTCAGGGAGCCACGCAAGGTGCTGCGCAAGGTTAGAGATGCGGGTACCCACAACATGCACCGAGGAACAAGGCAACGTCGAGTGTGCTCAAAAGGAGGTGGCAAACAACTGCGCTGTTTCCAAATTACCTGCAAAGAGTGAGTATCCTTTTGCAAGGGCATTTCTGAATGAACAAGCTGACCCACATAGCAAGTCGTATTCTTTACTGGACAACTTCAAATAGCACTTCCTAACAGAAAGCCAGTTGACTGACCACACTTCCAAACAGATCCTCCTTCTTAGGCAACTGAACACATCTTTAGTGAACAGCCCAAATCCCTGCCAAATCCAAGCTGCCTTCACCTGCTCCTTCCTTTGTGAGCAAGCCTACTCAAGTACGAAGACAAGCAGATGCAGCAAGCTGCAGCATTACCTCTTCTTTACTCATTACTACTTTTTACTTACACAGTAACTCGGCAGCAGCAAAACAAATACAAGACGATAAACATTTCATAGCCATAACCACACCTCCTTCTGAAGGCAAGGCATTTATGAGGGAGCCACAGCTTTCATCTGTTGTCAAGGGCTGCAAGCCTTCACTGCCACACATCCGCTAAGCAGGAACTTCAGAAAAGCTGGCCTTCTTCATTGTGATTATTTATTTGAGGGGAGTTGACAGGGCAGGAGGAACCTTCCCCTTAGTCATAGTTCAGTGCCAGAGGGAGCAGACGGTGGAGTGCAGCACGTTTATGGGATCTGCCAACATTTTAATGACACCGAGCAACTACTTCAGGTAACTGAGAGATGACATATCATCTGTGTGTGTCATCTATCTCAGGAACAGCTGAGAGGGCTGGAACCGAACATCTACACTTCAGCTGGGGGAAGCCAATTCCCCCCGCTCTGCAGCCAGGTTTGATCCAGCAGCATCAAGTCCTTGGCCAAACAAACCAATACACAACAGGTGTTCACCAGTCATCACCGACCACTCTCAACAAAAGCATGATCTGAATAACATTTTTCTTCCTGCTGATGTGCTTAGTTTTGTTTTTACATTTTAGCAATTCCAAGCCTGTCTGTCCCCAGCAGACGGACAGGAGGAATGTGGAGTTATTTATGGCGTGTGTTATTGCCTCAGCAGGTAGGTCACACACACCTCTAGCTCTTTACTGGATGTATATCTGTCATCCCTGGGCTGCCAAAGCCATTAACTGTCACGTTCCTGGTGGACAAACACTTGCATGACAAAAAGAACACATGGTACTAACTCAGTGGCACAGTCAATTGCTCAGAAGAGAGCAAAAAGTAACCAGCCCTATCAGCAAGGTGGTCTCTCTTATACCCCTGTAAGACATAATGCACAACAGCAGAATTATGGTTTAAAGATAGTGACTAACCACAGGACACTTCTGCAGGTACCACCAAAGGCTTTAATTTTGTCACCTTTCAGAAGGGAGGAGAATTATTACTCCAAGAATAGACAGATAACACACCACTAAATGAAAACAGGAAAAATTAAAACAGGTGCAGATGCAGTAGGACATATTGCTGTGCTGGGAAAAAAATACCTAAATTTGGAGTGAAGCACAGACTAAATAAAACACAATAATAAAATAATGCAAAAATGAAAGCTCAAGAGTACTGCTGGTTTTTCTACCTCCTAAGCATGTGGCAAGATGTCTTTGTAGACTTGCATTTGCCAACTTTGCTTGTTAATAAAAGACAATGTGGCCACTAATATTTTCATAATTTACTTAAACTGTTTAAGAAGTGAGCAATATCTGGGCTCCTTGTTTCCTAAGGGAGTGAATTTCACTTCAAGTTCATCTCTGAGTTTTATAATCCCAGCCCTGGGACATAAGCCATCTTGCATTAGCCTTGGTCAATACTGCTGAAGTCATCTGCTAAAACAAGGGTTCATGTCTCTTCCACAGAACTCACTGGACAGCAGCCATGGGAGACTGAATAAACGCTGCACTTAAATCATTTTGGGTCAAAAACAAATCAAGATACTCTTCTTGCCTGTATCAGAGGCAAAAGGTTACTGAAACAGGATCTCAGGGCATACCAGCAACCGCTGTCCTAGAGAGGGAAAAAGACAGCACAGTCCACTTGGTGAAGGCTCAGGCTACCTATGGGAACTTCACATCTGAGCACTGATTATTCAGTCACGCGATGCTTTTCCACATATGTATCAACAGTCCAACTTCCAATGAAATCAAGAATATGGCACTGAATTAGTATTTCACACATAGGAACAATTTCCAGCATCTTCTCCCAAACCCACACATCACATCATCCATACATGACTGCCACAATGGGCACATCACTCATGTATGTCCTGGTCTGGGCAAAGGCAAAAACGGCAGTGAGCAATCAAAACCTAGTTCTGCAATTGGCAGTGAGGGAGGAAGGGATGAGCCTCGTTAAACAGTGGCCCTAGGAAAGGCAGCACCTTGTGACCTGACTGCAACCAGCCTGACCTCAGAGGTCCATTACCTTGCCACAGCCAGGAAGTCCCTCACAGAACTAATCTCAGTACAGCACAACCAATGACTCGGGAATCCAGCCTACCAGGTTGGTAGAGATGTTCTCCTTAAGAACTCAAGACAGAGTATTTTTAGGGGCGCTGCCAACTTTGGGAGTGGAAGATGGAGTGGGAGAGGCGAGGAACGAGAGGCAGCAGGTGCCCAAAACCAAAGACAGCTGCTGGCAACAACTTTTGCACTCATGTCAGTATCTGAAGAGCTCTGCAGCACATATTCTAACATCTTGATGACCAGACTTCATCACTGAATGAGCAAAGACTCATTTCTTCTTAGGGCAATAATCCAGCTCTAAACTTTTCCACGATGATATATTTTTAAAATGCTTTAATTCCTATCTAGACAGTCAGTATCCACTCCAGACCCTTAAACACTTCCAGTTTAGTGGAAAATTGAAGCAGTATTGATATTAAATGTAATGAGAGTCAGAGATGTAACCAACTGACAAGGGAGAGGAAGCAGGAAGAGACAGTGAACAGCAATCAATTTTGAGGAAAGGCTGTGATGAAATTGCTCAACTCTAATGTATACAGAGCATAACAAATTCTATGAACATGAAGATGGGAAGCAGCAGAAAAGCCCTCTGCACTTTTATGATTCAGGGGCACCTGCACTTCTAATACTTATGGCATTGCTGCAAATACGTTTGCAATGTTGACAGTTGATAGTTTTCATTTAAAACAGAATAAAGAGAAACCTATTTTATAAAGCCCAAAGTAAACCACCTGCTTTCATTGCTTGAATACTTCAGCCATTCCCACATTCTCCTTTTCCCATCACCACTTCTATACATGCACACATACAGTTTTCATTTTGCAGGCTGCCAACGGACGAGGCATTCGATGACTATAGAAATCTTGCAGAGCGTAGGCTCTCTAGAGATGTATGCTCAAGATGCTTATTTCCGATAGCAGGTGAGTCAACAACTCCCTCTAAATTTTTACCTCCTTGTTTAAATTCCTACTCTGCTTGTTAGACATAAGAATCTCCAAGTCCCTGACCAATTTAGCAAAAAAATAGTACCACAAAATCCTCAAAATAACCCGAAACAAACCACACACACAAAAAAGCAACAACACAAAACACAACAAGACTCAAGATAGGGCATCATGAAATTCTATCCCAGAACACATTTCAGACCCTACTGAGTCAATGAGGTATTTTCTCATAAAGCTAGAATCAAAGGCCACTCAACTCTTCTTGGATTATTTCTAGCTCATAATCATTAATACAGACACCCGTTATGCTAGCCTAAGGGTGGCATATGGCTTTCTAGGGATAGGACAGACGGGGGAAAATAACAGTTACGCATGCCTACATCCCAATCTCATTTCTGTGCATGCATATGGGGACAGAGCTTTCTCTTGCCAGATTCTTAAATACCAAATATATTAGCTTCCGAGTCAAACATAGTACTTCAAACACAACCACCGTTTTGCAAAAAATCAAGATGACATGCATAATCAACCCATGTGCCTCCCAGCAGTAAAAACGATGAACCATGTGAGTTCAGAAGGAATTCCCTTCCCGCATTTGCTCCTAGACACTATAAGCAATTTTTACCTGCCTCTGAACAAAACAGATATTTATAGACACCACTTAATGGATGCAGGTTTAGTACAGGACAGTAAATAGAGTTCCTGCCACAAGATTGGAAATCTAATTTCTTTTTTATTTAAAAAAATACTACCTCAAATTCTATACAGTTGAAAAGAAATACAGTTGACTTTAGGGTTGCTTTTTAATGTAGGAAAAGCGCGTCTTAATTACATGCTTGAGTAAGAAAATTCTTGAAAGCCTTCAGTCATGGTCTGCTTCTATGAATCCTTCTGCAGGTGGAGAGTCAGGCGCATTTCCACACATCACAGTTCACGTTTTTAACTGCTTTGACAGTCTTGTAAATTCTCCTGTTCTCCCTGCTCTTTCATCCCAGACATACATAAAGCACATTTCTCACAGCATTACAGGATCAGTATCTTTCTGGGGACAGAATCCAACCTACCAGTTTGCCAAGACGTATGTGGGAAAGACATACAGTCATCAGCATTCAGCATAAATCAAGGGGATTCAAAAGTCTTACAGAAAGGACCACAAAAAGCCCAGGAGACTCAGAATAAATGGCCTGGGCTAGTACATATACACAGTCATACTTGTAGTGAGATATGACCTA